AGGGGGTGGGGGGGGCATTGAAAGTGATTCTTTGAGGTTGACAACATGACTAGATAGTGGGACTGTGTGCGTGGGAGGGCGTGAGTAAAGGTGAGCGCAAGTATATGTGTGTGTGTTTGTGTGTGTGTGTGTGAGTGTGTGTGTGTGTGTGTGTCTGTGTGTGCACTTGTGTGTGTGTGTGTGTGTCATGCGTGTGTGTGTGTGTGTGTGCATGTGTGTGTGCGCACAAGCGTTTCCAAGTATGTGGGAGTCAAAACAAAAAGTCCTATAATCCCTTCTTGCTTGTTTGAGAAAAGGAAAAAGCACATCCACACAATCATAGTCATTTAATTCAGGAAAAAAACAAAAAAGAAAAAGCAGATATGAACAAACGAGGGAAAGACAAGATGTAGGACTTACCAGCAGTGCCCTCCAACCTCTCACAAAATAAATGCTAAACATTTCCCCCCCATTCCTATCTAAATTAACACAATCAACAAAATCATCTGCATCTAGCTGTACTCTTATCTGCCCTTCCAAGGCCACTAACTCTTTCTCTAAATGGTCGCTTTTAAGCACAAGGGGGCTATCCCAAAAAAATGCTGTTTTGAGAAAATCGATTGTAAAGTTTTTGCTCCTTCCTCAGTTTCATTAAAAGACAAGGAGAGTTTTCTCTATAACCAAACAAATATACACACCAATGAAACCAAACTTCTCCTATAAGTAGGGCAATGCCCACTTTTGTTGTAGATCAAGATTTCTGGAAACCCCCGACTTGTCCTTAAAAGTGACCAATTAACACAATCAACAAAATCATCTCCACCTCGCTGTACTCTTACCTGTCCTTCCAAGGCCACTAACTCATTCTCAAAAGCTTCGTGTTTCTTCAGGAAAGTCAGAGTAGAGTTGTAGTCCCTGCCCAGATCATCAGGAATACTCGAGTTTTTCTCCTGCAAAACACAAAAATCAGCTCTCAGTTTTCCTATTTTTTAGTTCTAGTTCGAGTTTTACAGCACTTGCAACACAAAAAGGCATATAAGTGCCGTACAATAGAGGAGTTACAAGAGAGTAAAGTACACTAAAAAGAATGAGGAGAGATAAGGATGAAAGATCTTTGATAGGAAAGAAGGAGAAAACCACACCAGAGCATCTGCTAACCACCCACTTTCCTTTTAACAAAATATTTTTTTACTTTCTTTTTTGGAGAGGGAGGGGTGGTGTTCTGTTGTTCTTTTTAAGGAAAATGAAGCACATCTGATCTATAAACACTAATGGTCAATTCGAGAAAGGATGAAGACAGACAGACAGACAGACAGACAGACAGACAGACAGGCAGACAGACAGACAGACAGACAGACAGACAAAAATAATAGAGCCAAAGAAAAGAAGTTGGACCAATCAGTGACACCCTCCAGCCACCAATACATACAAACAGAAATAATAGAGGCAAAGAAAAGAAGTAGGACGTACTCATGACGCCCTCTATCCACCCAGAGTTTTCCACATAAGGTGCCAAGCTTCCAACAACAGAAGAAAAAAAGAACAATTGTGAGGCAGCGTGGTGGAATCAGGCTCTCGTCAATTTTTGGGCATGTAGAGTTATTGGTATCATTTTAAAGCTGTCTTTATTTGGATGAAAAAAATATGAATTTATCTTGAATACAAGTCGAAATGTTTGCCAATGAAGGAGGGGGGTCACATGTTTTCAGAGGTAAAATAACTGAGAAAATGGCCGCCAAAGATTAGTTGTTTCCTTAGCTTAAGAGTCGGTGGTAACTTAAAATTTTCATTTTTTGCGCCTTTAATCAACATTTTTAAGAAAAATCCACACGGAAATGAGTTCTTAAATGGGCATGAAAGGTGTTAAGCCATAAAACAAAAATTTGATAAAAATTCACAAACCTGCGGAAAAATGCAAGTTTCTTCACTTTGATTATTTTGACGAGAGCCTGATTCCACCACGCTGCCTCACAATTTATCTAACAAAGTAGGCCTACAAATAGGTGGGAAAATGGTGATATATATTTTGATAGCATTAACTTGCACAATGACCAATAAATGACACGTGCAGATCAATCAAGCAAATTAAACAAACAATGAAAAGGCAGAACAGATGCCATCC